ATTTTCTACAAAGGGTCTCCATTCCATGTTCTCTCATACACATACCCTGTTCTTAAACAAATGCTCAAGAGTCCTTCCAGGAGGAACCCATGAGTCTCCATGCCTACCAGAGGGACTCTTAGCAGTCACTGCTTGTTGGGGACAGGGTGTCACTTCGGTGGTGTAGTCACGGACAGATCGTCCTTGCTCTACTGAAAACCTTCCTACTGACTGTTAGGCAAGTAGCTGTAATTAAATTTCGTGGGCTACATGCCAAGTAAAGACAGGGAAATGGAAGGGGGACCCTTTGAGAAAGAGGGACTTGTGGAGAAGAAGGATGCCAGAGGGAGAGGGAGTGGAGAAGTGGAATGGAGGTCAAGATAATTGAGAGTCATTATAGAAACATAGTGAACTGAAGAAGAATCTCCACAATCTAGATATTTAAGCACTGAGGCCAGAAGTCTGTGTGTGTGTGTGTGTGTGTGTGTGTGTGTGTGTGTGTGTGTGTGTGTGTAAAAGATGGATGGTTGGATGGTGTTATTGAATGTTACTTAGCACCTAACCCTTTGAATGAGCAGTTTAGGGATGAAAAAAAAAAATCAGTCTGATACCTATATTCAGCCAGCCTGGGTACAGAGTCCCTTAACGTGGCTTGCAGCAAGGTGAATAGATGCTTGTGATGATGGAGCTAACCCTTAACTGAGTGATCAGTGGAGAGCAATCAGGAATCTGAGATGTTCCTCAGGAGTAATTCTCCGCCAGGGGTCAAGCACGGTGGTCCCCACTGCTCAGGTGTGATTTGCGGCTACCCACATGCAGCCTTATCACTAGGAGCAGATAGAACAACTGGAAGCCGAAGGCGCCACCCCCTTCCTGTGTCTTCTCTGCAGCACAGAAGGTTGTCAGCACCAGTTCAGATTTGCCACCCACTGTTTCTTCCTGCAGCTGAGTGAAAGTGAAGATGTATTAGGTATATTTTTGTTTATGAATTCGAGCTGTGGACGCAACATACAGCTCTTGCTCCAAAAGGAGTGGGCTTGTTTAGAGACACATACAATGATTGAGGTTTGGGAGCAGGAACTCAGGTTGCCCTGAATGACATGCTCTAGTGCAGAAGTGATTGCACGAGCTGTTTGTGGTCATAGGACACAAGACAGTCATGAATGGATGCATGCACACAGGTCGCTACAAAGCAGGACAGCACAGGCCATAGATGTTGATGATTGCTTTGGCTTGTATGTTCATATAACCTGGTGCTATGCTAATAGCTTAGTTATCTGAAGAAATTCCCAAGGAATATGTTCTGCTTAATAGTCCATAGCATGGTAAGTCCCATATAAAGAGGTTGCTAATAAATGACTATTAAGGAACCTCAAGGTAATTTTGGCTCTGGATCTCGAATTCTCTCAGTCTCCATAATCCCAGAATTTTAATGGGTCCATAGACTCTTTACTGTCGGAGTCACTTTAACTCTAGACAGCCTTACTTCAGCATCTCTATTTTATTTTTGAGACAGAGTCTCACTGTGTAGCCTTGCCTGGGCTGGAACTCACCATGTAGACCACACTGGCCTTGAACTCACAGATATCTGTCTGCCTTTGCCTCTTAAATCTTGGGATTAAAGGTGTGTACCACCACATAGCCCTGGGCATTTCTCTCTTAAATACTGTGTTTCAGGAACATGTATTTGGGGGATCATATATCACAGAAGCCCGTGCAGACTCTGAAATCATCAATAGGAATATGATATGATAAAATTTGCTCAGGATCTATGTTAGGAGTGAGGATGAAGTTTAGCCGTACAGCACTTATGTAGCATATACAAGACCGTAGCAAACCCACTTGTCCCCTGTCCCCTACCCCCCCGCCCCCAATCCAATTAGGTGTGTTATGTGCTGTCTGTTGTAAGCTGGACCATATTGCTGCCTCAGTTTAGCTCATTCCCTTTTTATACTCCACGTGGCTGCTGGGTGTACAGTTTTCTCAATGCACCTCTGGGCAAAAAGCTCATAATGGTTTCAATGCCACCATAGAATAATGTCTAACTTCCTTTTTTGGTAACTGAAACCTTTCATATTAAGTTGTGTTTCTGCCTTACCCCTCCATGCTTTTCACAGCTATTATTCAGAAATGTTTTCGGACCCCTGACAGCACCAAGTTCCTTTACGCTTACATCAGTTTTCTCTTGGTCCCCCCCCCCCCCACCCCCCTTTGCAAACTCATTTTTCATGCATGGCTTTTCTTCTTTTTACAATAAGCACAAGGCATCTTCCTTCCTTCCTTCCTTCCTTCCTTCCTTCCTTCCTTCCTTCCTTCCTCCCTCCCTCCCTCCCTCCCTCCCTCCCTCCCTCCCTCCCTCCCTCCCTCCTTCCCTCCCTGCCCCCCTCCCCTCTCTCTCTTTCTTTCTTTCGTTCTGAGACAGGATTTCTCCGTGTAGCCTTGGCTGTTCTGGAACTCATTCTGTAGACCAGGCTGGACTCCACCTCACAGAGATCCACCTGCCTCTGCCTCTCAAGCGCTGGGCGTGCACCTGGCTTGACCAAGACTTCTTAAGAGAAGCTTTTAGAAAGTTTTTAGGTTGGAAGGGAATCGAGGTGCTTAGGAAAAGGATAGTATATTCCCACGACGTGGGGTTGGACTCTTTGAGAGAGCTACTGGTGTGTCTTTTCTTGGTTCCCCCTCCCTTCCTTAGGTGTAAGTTAGTCAACCTGATTTAGTAAATAGAGTTAGTTCTTTTGGTTTCTTTAGAGTTCTGATCATCTTGTTATCACATGTGCCATTCTGTTTCATTCATCAGCCTAGAGTTATTGTTGTATTCCATTTCTTGGCCTCTACATTTGGCCTTCACTAGTCCTTAATCGTGAGATGGATACTCCCATTACAAAACTTCATATGAAAGTGTGCTACCGCATGTTTATAAATATGCTTTCTGTGTAACAAATAGGTCTGTGGTACTTCCTGGATCAGAACTTCTTGTGAAATAGAAATTGAGGATTCATCTTGAAGGATTTTTCTTAGCATGCATGTCAAGCTGATCAGTGAATGATTTCAAGACCCCTTTGTCACATTTCTGATGTAGCAGGGACAAGCAATGTCCACCCACTTATTTTATATAGCTCTTCCCCCTGTTACTGTTAATCTGAACACTGGAGTCTAAAATCAACCATGTCTATGAAGGGCAGCAATTACAGCCATTTGTCTTCCAAATGAGTCAATGTGATTCCCACTGATCGTTGAAATTTATATACAGAGGGCACCCAGACCCGTGTAAAGGGTAATGGGGGCCCCACGGGCATACATTGCAAAGCAGTAAGTCTTTCTGGGCTGTAATAGAGAGTTCCATTTGTGAGAAAAACTTTTTTTTTTTTTTTGGTGGAAAACTTTTTACCTTGTGATGTAAAGATGTATTTCCTAGTAACCTCCTTTTGTAGATTTTAAATGAATTAAATTAATTTTAAGTGAAATTAATTTTAAATGAAAAGTACATCATCTTTCACGAAAGTCTGTGTAACGAAGGTCACATTAAGCATGTTTAAAAGACAATAATACGTGTTCCAGCTGTTGGGCTGTGGGTTATGGTGAAGGATTACTGTAGTTATAAGAGAGACTTGAGGAACCCACAGTGTGTTCTGCTTTTGAGAAAGGGTTGAGCTTGTGAAGCTCTCTGTCCTTTACAGTTTCATTTCTGATGCAGCTGCTGTCTGTCATTGCTGAACATGGTGCCTTTCAGTCACATCCAAAGTGACAAACTTTTGAGGAGCAGAGTGAGACGAATTTAATGGTCTGAGGTTTACCACCTGTTAGCTTTACAGGTTTACCACCTGTGACTGCTTGCCTTAGAATTCCCCAAGTTTCTCCACACAGATCTCCATGGAAACTAAGCAAATAAGCCACTTGAAAGGAGGCAGGTTATTAGTTTTTCTCATTAAAGCCACTGCTAGATTTTCATTAGCTGTAATCCATTTTCTTTCAAGACCAGACATACAGGCCACTTCTTATTTTCCCGATTTGAGTAAACTGAATAAGTTGACTTGTGTGTATCCTTTGTAGACGAGCTCAGAAGCAAAGGTAATCATTTTCCTTCTGCTCTATGGTCACATCTGAAAGTAAAGCCAGGGAGGCTGAAAGATGGCCCATGTAAAAGGGAATAGGCTACGCGGACTATAAAAGTCAGGTCATTAAGCAAAGTGGAAGTCTGAGCATGATTACGGGCTAATCTGATCCATCTTGTACTTCAGTTTCCCTCACTTAAAAATCATAAACTGTGTTTGAAATTAATATAAATAATAGATAGAAAAGCTTACCCCCAGACCTCAAGCACTATTTAGACCCTGGTAAGCTTTGGGTGTTTAATTTGCTGTAGTAGATATCATGGATGTCTTTTAAATCATGGGATTGTTAAGGCTTAAATATGAACTTCAGTGTTTTGAACTTGCATGGCCAAGAAAGTTTTTATGCTTCCTGCCCCCTTTGCAATAAAGATGTCACCAGTGTTTAGATTGTAGTTTTATAAATTGAAGTAAAACCTCATGATATATACATTTGTGTGGGTATGTGTGTGTGTTTGAGACAGAGTTTCTCTGTGTAGCCTTGATTGTCCTGGAAATGCTTTGTAGACCAGGCTGGTCTTGAACTCACAGAGATTTTTTTGCCTCTGCCTCCAAGTGCTAGGATTAGAGATGTGTGCCACTACACCCAGCCTGTGCGTGCGTGTGTGTGTGTGTGTGTGTGTGTGTGTGTGTGTGTGTGTGTGCGCGCGCGCGCGCGCGTGTGTGTGTACACGTTTTAAAAATAATTCAAAACTTCAGCTTTCTTTTTGGGGCTCAGCCCAGTAGAATATACTGAGGTTTCTATTGGCATTGAGTTTTTAATAGGAGTAGTGGCCAATAGGAGTGTCACTGACAAGATCATGAATGTCACGGAAGTTACATATTTTACCCAGGTACTTGCTTCTTCAGTACTTTCCTCACATGGAGAAAATGTGTGCAGACTGTAACCATGTTCCCTGCTTCCCTTCCTAGGTGGCTGTACATTTGATGATGGGCCAGGAGCCTGCGACTACCACCAGGATTTATACGATGACTTTGAATGGGTCCACGTCAGTGCGCAGGAACCCCATTACCTGCCCCCTGAAATGCCTCAAGGTAAGCTGCATTCTAACTCAGTGTCCAGGGGATAGTTTTAGTACAAACAATATTTTCTCACTTTATGTGTAACAATAGCACTTTGTTATAATAAAATAACTTATTATTATTGGTCTATTTGGTAACATCTAAAAAAAAATCTTAAAATATTCTTTACCTCTTCCTTAACAATGTTCTATAACCCTTACTCTATTCAAGAGTTCTTATTAAATATTCTTTTCGCTTTGGAAAAAAATATGAAACTTAGAAAACGTTTTCCCCCCCTTCATAAGAAGTCAAAATGACTAAAACTTAAAAAAAAAAAAAAAAGAATCAGAAGAAAATTTATAGAAAACTATAATGAAATCCAGTAATTTGGAATATCTTTGATCATATTTCACTGTGATCCAGTTAGACTGTGGGCAAGCACTTAATAGTCTATGATCAGGAGAGAAATTGTCTCCTTCTCCCACAGAATATGAGTATGCCATTGGCTCTGTAGAGAAATGCCTTGGAGACAAAATGACCAAGGGAAGATGTTATCTGAGGGGATTTTGTGGAAATAGGGCAGAGACCTGTTTCTTACTCTCCTAGAACTTGTTTTAGGTATTGACTTTTGATTTTATGATAGTATATTTTCTGATTGCTTAGGACTGGTCATGATCCTTCTGTGATTTGTGAAAAGCACATTAAGGTAGCATATCAATATATACCTTCCCCACACTACAGTATGAGACTAGTGTTTCTTTCAGCTCTACATATTAGTTTTGAACTAATTCTAAGTTGTGTGTTTAGTAATAATTTGATTAATTATAAAGATCAGAAACAAGCATAAAATTTGAGGCATAGTACCTAAGTGAACAAGAGATGCTTAGAAAGAAGCAAATAATTATATATAGAATTATGTATGTATAAAGGATCACATTCTTGCATTATTATTATCCGTCATGTAACTGATATTTTGATTTTCTACTAATAATTTCTTTTGCAGTATAATTTTAGTAGTTTATTATAATTACATAAAGATATCTTAAATTGATTTTTTTTCTGCAAATTCAGACTATCCTTCATAGTTGACCGTGAATTTTAGGCATCACCGTTGAAAGTGCAAATATCAATTCTGGTGTCTGATTAAAAAACCTTGCTAGTTAATATGATTCATAAAGACGAAGGAAGAAGCATGGATGATGATCAGTAGAATATGAAAAATAGTCAAAGCAAATAAAATAAAACCCAAACCATAGATCTCTAGATGAGGATTATAAATAAATGTAGTGAGTCTATTCTTTGAAAATAATTTGTATAGTTCTGTGATGCAGGCCTGGATTAGGGTGGCTATTTACTTTGAACTGTAGATTTCCTTGGCTGAGAAGGCAAATGGTATTTTGAGGTTAGAATAAGGCATAATTTTCTTTGTGGAGGAATACATTGATGGGCCGTCTTTAATTGACAACCTTGACTTCTTATGGTTGACCCTGACACTTTTGGTGGAACCACTGCTCTCCGTGCGTTGGTTTGTATTTTTCTCTCAAAGGTACATAAATTATTGCTCTGGCTCATTTTGATTAAAGAAACCACTGTACATTTTCACTTGAGTTTTCTCAGTGGTATATTTAGACTTAATGTTTCATGTAATATTAAAAAGGTGGGCCGGAATGCACACATTTTGACTGTTTATCATCAGAGAATAATCAGAAAGACGTTGATTTATGGAAATGTTGCCATTACTAATTGCTATTGATGGTGGGTAATGAGCGCTGAAGAGAATGTTCAGATGACCTTGTTGGCTCACCTTTTTACACAATGACTTAATCATTGGGTACAGTAAAGGATGATATGCACAGAAAATGAAAGTGTTTGAAATTCAGCCATAGCCTCCAATTAATAGCACATTAAATAATTAATCATGCAAAGAAGGGAAAAGGTCATGGCCACTTTTTTTTTTTTTTTCCAGAATGTACCTATGTTTAGTCTGAGGAAAAGTGAGAGAAGTACTTGTATTACTTTTTTCTTTCTTTCTTTTCTATGCGTGTGAGTATACATGTGGGCTCAGGTGCCTGTGTGGGTTTGGACCTGTGAGAACGGGAGGACATCTTGGGTGCTGTTCCTCAGGAACTCTCCACCTTGGTTTTGAGACAACATCTCCAATTGTCCTGCAGCTTGTAGAGCTGGCTTATCCGGCTGGTCAGCGTGCATCCTTCTGTCTCACTCTCAATTTTGACTTATAAATTTTTAAGTGCCTCAATCTCATTCAGCATTTTTTTTTTTTTTAAATCTTTTAACCTTTGGTGTGAGAGATAGAAGTAAGGGTCTCACACTTGAATGACAAGCACTTCACTGACTGGTTTTTTTCTACGAGCCCTACTCAGTTCTTTTTACAAGGTGTTTTTGTTTTTGTTTTGTTTTTCCTATTTTCCTTCTGATATTCTTTTAAAGAACCAACTGAGCATTAATCTGTCCATATATTGGCAAAGAGGACATAATTAGGCTTACTAAATTTTAATGACCCGTTCTGGCGAGTTGGCTCAGCTGTTAAGAGCACTTGTTGTTTTTTTAGAGGACAAGGGTTCGATACCCAGCACCCATAGGCAGTTCACAACTGTCTATAATTCTAGTTCTAGGGGATCTGATGTCCTTTTCTGACCTCCATGGGCACCAGGCACGTACATGGGACATACACACATACATGTATCTAAAACACTCATATACATAAAATAAAACTATTTAAAATTTTTTAATGACCCATCGTTTCTTTTTTCACACAGATAGGTAGGCTTGCTTACTACTTTATTTACTGAAAATACATAACTAAAAACAAAAGACACAGACGATCCTAAGCATCTGGGCCCTATGTCTGAGGAAGTCAGTCTGTGTGAAACAGACATGGTATTGAACCCTCTGCCATTCTTGGACGTTGTTAATTATTGACTTTTTATTGGCCTTCAGAGGTTTTAAAAAAGAAATGGTGAATCGACAGTTTGGAATCATAAGGTTAGAATAAAGAAAATAAGGAAATTAACCTCTCGTGAGAAATACGCTACTGTTAGTGACTGCTTGCCATGTTCCAGAGCAGTTCTTAGCTTGTTACATGACAATAATGACGATAAGTGGACTATCTGATGTTTGGAAATAGCGTGCAGAGTAAGTGAGTCCTGTAGCCAAAAGTCATATGACCGTAGGAGAAGCTGTTAGTCAGTGAAATGCAAAGTAACAGCCATAATGAGAAGCTGGGGCACCCCTGTGACACCAGGTGTAGCTGACAAGAATACAGAGTGAAGGAAAGCCTCTCAGGCTGCTGTGGGCTGTAAATCTGCACAGCCGCGTTGCACAGCCTAATGGCCAGCTAATCCATTCTTGGATATGAGCCCAGAAGAACCGAGTACATGTGTTCATTCAAGGAATGTACGACTGCGCATAGCATCGGCGTTCTTAATAGTTCCAAGAGGAAGACAGCCTGAATTCTTGTCAGTTGTACAATGTACCAAAGCGTGGGAGTGTGTTCATATGATGAAATCACACCACAGCGTGGGAGAATTGACTCGTGCTATACATAGCAATATTGATGGATTTCACCAACATCATCAGGAAATGAAATCAGACACATGAGTAGATATTGTATTTTTACCTCCATAAGTTTCAAAAATAGGCAAGCTGATTGATGAGTTTAAACCTGTGTGTTAGTGCCTTCGGGAGGGCATTGGAAGAAGCTTTTGGGAGATAGCTGGATGCTGGATACCCTGGTTATTTATTGATCTGGGTGGCACCTGAGCTGCTCCCGGTTAAGAAATTACTGAGTTACCGATGGTGAATTTTCTTCTGTCTGTATCTTCTAAGTTAGTACAAAGTGGCACGTGAGTAAGACTGGTGTTCACAAGCACACTGTTGAGAAGTTAGAATAATTATAATGTTGTAGGTTAGCAAAGGAGATATTACAGGAGACCTCAGATGGTACAGAATTTTTTCCATCCTGGATCCCACTTTGCATTCATCTTTGGATTTATGTGTATATATATATTCATTTGGTTCAGTTATCCATTCACCAAATTCTTGCCCAAGTTTACTGTATCTACATGCGAACCTGCGAGGGTTGAGGACACAACTCCCCTTGTGTCCTCATAGCTTGACAGTCTCTCACTCTACTTTGTATGTATGTCAATTGAGGGTATCCTTAGAGTTTCAATTTGATTTTATTTTCCCTCACTGGCCCATAATGTTCCCATGCACATAGAACATACTTGAAAACTTCAATTTCCAAAGACACCATTTTATTTTTTTTCAGACAAAAATGGTAGCTTCCATAATACAAGGTTTAAAAACTTTTTGTTAAAGGGCCCGAGGAGATGGCTCGGTGGGCCAAAGTATTTGCTGTGAAAACATGAGGACCCAGTACCTACATAAAATATTGGGCATGGCTTTATGTGCCTGTAACTGCAGAATTGGTGGTGGAGACAGACAGATCCTGGGAAGTTGCTGGCCTACTAGCCCAGTAGACAGTGAGCTTCAGGATCAGTGGAAGACCCTGTCTATAAGGTGGGGAGTGACAGAAGAAGGCACTGGGTGTCTCTCTATGGCTTCTGCTTCGATGCACCCACTCTCACCCCTGCCCATACCTCCGCCCACTGTACACCATACAAACCCACCATACACCATGCAAACCCACCATACATGTAAATAAAGAAAAGATTTTGTTCATAATTTGTGAAGCTTTGTCTCTCTTCTTAAAGAAAGCAACCAAATGAAAGTTTTTGTTTCTTAAACATTATAATGAGTAATTTTAATGTGATCAGAAGACTGTAATTATTCAGTAAACTTTTAATAAAAGGTATCATTGATTTGGGATATGTTTGCATGTTATTAGTTAGTATAGAGGGAGAACCACCACTTTCTCCTCCTTCTCCGCCAGACTAATATCAGTCTTTCACACCGAAACCTATTACATTAATACAGAAGAGAAACCACAGAGAGTGTGGATGATGGACAGAAACAGAAATTATTCTTTGATCTTACACACATTTACGTCT